AATATAAAAGGAATACTTGAGGATCATGCTTTGCTATGGATGAAACTATTTAGCACAATTGCTCAAGAAAAGAATCTATCATGAGCTAGGGCTGAATGTGATAGAGTAAAGGCTACCAAGGGATGAGGTTGGGTGGCTTTCCAATTCTACAAATATGATTTCAAGCCCAGTGAATTCTCACTAATGGGTGGGCTTTTAAAAAAAATCTGATTATTAACATCTAGCCTATATTTTACAACTTCCTCTTTCTTAACTTCCCCTACCCCCCACCTATTTGGTCTACTATATATATCAAGAGTCTATATTCGGCCCTCTAACCACATTATTAGAACTTTCTTCAGAACTCAGGGACTATACCTGAACCCTTAAGATGGTCTCCTTCTCCCAGCCTCCAGTTGGCTGCTTCTCTGTCTTTCTGAAATGCAAATCCAATTGTGTGCTTTGAACTTGTCTCTCCATATCTGTGGACCTGCTAGACTGAGTTTTGCTCTGAGGAATGGGCAATCCTGCACAGCAGTGGCTGAGACTTAATAGGATCTCACACATGAGAACCAAGTCTTCTTCACCCAGTTAACTAATAAAGTGAAACAGTGATGCTTTCTTGGTCTCTATAAAGTACTTTGTAATGGAAACAGTCTCACTCTTGTCATTGTTTTGGCAGTCCTTGGATTTGAATCGAGGACTGTGAATCTTCTAAGCAAGTGCTCTATTACTTGAACCACACTCCAGCCCTCAGTAGTGCTGTTTATAACCCAAATCCCAACATATCATCTAACAAGATAAATGTATGGGTTTTACTCAATCTAGTAAATAAAAAAATGGACTTACCAGTCAGTAGATCCTTGTTTAAATTTTTTCTGCTTATGGAAAGAATATACTGCAAGATAAAAATAAGGGTTGACACTATGTATAAAGGACAAATATAATTTTTAAAAAATTATTGTTAAGTAGCTGTACAAAGAAGTTAAAATTCCTTAAGTCAGGTTATAAGTTTAATGCATCTTGATCAACATCACCCCTTCCATTATTTCCACCATCTTTCCATATCTTATTCCTACCCCCAAATTATGTACTTCAATTTTCACATAATGTAAATTGAATTATAATGACTGCATTGGCTCACCCTTTCTCACTTTTCTCATGTGCCCAACTGACAAATACAAATTTAAATTACCAAGCAACAAGGTACTTATTATTTAGCAGAAGGCTACAAATTTGGTTTTATAATCATTTAAGTGCTCTTTAGGAAATATATGCTAACCAAATGCATTTAATACAATAAGCATGTTCTGTTGGGCATGATAGTGTACACTTAGTATGCTACTGCTGGAAAGGTTGAGAAAGGACAACCACTAATTTTAGGGTAGCCTCGCCTACTTGGTAAGATTTGGTCATAAAAACCCCAAGGGACGTGAGGGGGGTGGACAGAAAAAAATAGAAAGAAATTAGCCACGCTTTTTGAGTCACACTCCTAATCTTAGCTATACTGAGATCTGTGGACTGTGTATTGAAGCCAGTACAGTCAGAAAAGTTCTCAAGACTCCATCTTCAACTAGCTAACAAAAAACTGGGTTGGAGGCATGGCTGAAGTGGTAGAGCCCCAAGTAAGCAAGAGGTCTTTAGTTCAAGTCTCAGTACTGCCAAAGAGAAGCACGTTTTAACTTGGGCTTTTTCAAAGTTTGATACTTCTAAATCTCCTCTTGTACCTAAAGTATTACTCTCATGAAGATAGTTTTAAATAACCAAAGGTGGCAACTCATATTTTGGCCTTTAAGTCTTTAAATTTATTTATTTTTTTTATTTTTTTTATTTTTTGTCGGTCATGGGGCTTGAACTCTGGGCCTGGGCACTGTCCTTCAGCTCTTCAGCTCAAGGCGAGCGCTCTACCACTTGAGCTACAGCACCACTTAAGTCTTTAAATTTAAGTGTTATAACACATTATAATAACAGCATCACTTGAATAAGTGTACTAAAAGAAAAAAAGAAAAAATAAATGAAGAAATAAGATCTCAGCCAACTTTCTTCCAGATAGATTCCATTTGATTGCAATGATTTTGCTGCTGATTCGAGATTCCAATAAAATATTACAAGTCTCACTTTTCTCTGTAAAGACTTCTTAAAAACTTGCCCTCCCTCGCCTTCCCCAGCATTTCTTTTTATTTGGGGGGGGGGGTGGACATGGGCCTGAACTTTGGGCCTGGGCGCTGTCCCTCAGCTCTTCAGCTCAAGGCTAGCACTCTACCACTTGAGCCATAGCACCACTTTCGGCTTTTTTCTTTTTGCTTATGTGGTGCAGAGGAATCGAACCCAGGGCCTCAGGCATGCAAGGCTAGTGCTCTACCACGGAGCCACCTTCCCAGCCCTCCTCCCCAGCATTTCTGGTCTGTCCCTCACACAGAGCTCCTTGGCCTCACTCAGCTGCGGTCTTCTCCTGATGAACTTCAACACTGACCTCCTAGCCCCACTGGGTTCCAAGTGGGACTCCTCTCTTTGCCCTCTGCCACTAACAGCACATCAGCAATAACTATGTCCTGCAATAACTCATGGTGCATGTGGCTTACCTGATGGCATTTGTAAATCTTACAAATGATTCTTACGTCTTTTTCTATAGCGTCGAGCTTGATTGGATGCCAACTGAGCCACATATGTCAATTAATTGAAAATGTGGATCAGTAAGGATAGCTAAGATTTTCTTCCTTTCACTCCCCCAGCCAGGGTCACGCATATATGCATATCTATATTCTTTTTTTCTTCTTTTTTGGGTCCAGTCGTGGGCCTGAACTCTGGGCCTGGGTGCTGTCCCTCAGCTCTTCAGCTCAAGGCTAGCGCTCTACCACTTGAGCCACAGCACCACTTTCGGCTTTTTCTTTTTGCTTATGTGGTGCTGAGGAATCGAACCCAGAGCCTCAAGCATGCAAGGCAAGAGCTCTACCACTGAGCCACCTTCCCAGCCCGTATATCTATATTCTTGACATGCCAAAATTCATAGTTTTTTTTAAAGCTATTCAATAGAAACTTTTTTTTTTTTGCTGGCCTGGGGCTTGAACTCAGTCCCTGAGTGCAGTCTCTGAGCTTCTTTGTGCTCAAGGCTAGCCCTCTAACCATTTGATCCCCAGTGTCACTTCTGGCTTTTTCTGAGTCATTTACTGGAGATAAGAATCTCATGGGGATTTTTCTGCCTCACCTGGCTTTGAACACTAAGGCTCAGATCTCAGCCTCTTGAGTAGCTAGGATTACAGGTGTGAGCCACAGGCCCTGGCTCACTGGAAACTTTAATCCTTCTTTCATTCCAAAGCCCTTTTAGCTGCTAGAATGTAGACATAGGAGATCATCACAAAATCCACAAAAACCTTTGGCTCAGAATACATAGGCAAATGTCCACAGACTGGCAACATAGTTATAACTTGAGAAGTTATGAAAAATCAGAGCCTCAGCTTCTGTCCTAGCCCTTCTGAGTGAGATCCCAGAACCTAGCAAAAAGAGAAGTGCCAATCTCTGCTCAAAGGACAGGTACTCTGCTCAAAGAATATGAGCCTCACTGGGTTGTGTGAATTTCTGGATAGAAATAATGCAAATTGGAATCCTCCTTTTGATGCTGGGTGTTGGGAACCTTCATTTTCTCTTAAGGCAACAAATTCAGAAGGAAAAATTATCTGGGAATACACATTTTTTTCTTAATTGTATAGGTTACTAGGAAAGAGAGAAGTAAAAAACAGAAAGATAATGATTTTTTTCATAAATTCTCCACCCCCGTCTGGTCTCCAATTTATAAATTATGAGGATACCAAAAACATTCTTTGTTCATTGAATAATTTCTATTATAAGCAAACTGTGGGCAAAAGGGTTCAAAAGGGAAAGGCAATAGCATTATAAAACCCTCCAGAGTTGTTCCTGGACACTAAGTTTGATACAATAATGTGGTTGCTTTCTCTTGGAAAGGAGATGGGAGGTCAAGGGCCTTGTAGGCGGTGCAAGCAAATCAGAGATCTAAAAAAGGGCCCAATAGCTTGAGCGGTAGCTGGAGCTCAGTCTTTGTAATGGGCACTCAGAATTGGGCTCTGCTGATCATTTCTTATTATAAAGTATCTTGATAATTATATAAGTGTCCCTGGGTCTGGATTAGGGTAAGCAATGTCAAAGGTGAGGCCAGAGAGGAAGGAAAGTGTCAACAAGCAAGTGGCACCAATCCACAAACCATTCTCTCCAGGGTAAACCTACCTGAGACTTTGTCCCATAGGGAATAACAGATCTCTTTCCTGACAGAGAGTGAATCATTCTTCCTCTCATGGGAACACCTTGAGACACAACCTATAATGAACCAGAAGCAATGATTTCTATTTCTATAACATGACATCAAAGATTTTTATTTAAAATTGGTTTTGTCATATATATGTGCATATGCGTATACATATAAGCATCTGCAAACATGCTTGAACTAGGTACCTGATCTTCCAGGCCAATGGCTTTCAGGGCTTGTCGTCCTCTGTAAGAAAGGGCCAAGTTAATGCTCCTCCCTCGTACTGATTGTGCCACTCGGATATCTAAAATATTGGAAGCAAATCCCGAGTTATAAACAGCCCTTAAACCTTAGAACAGAATGAGCATGTCACTGTGCTAGAAAAAACGGTTGCCTTCAGAATTATATCAGAAGACTTGCTAACTATTCTAAAGAAAACACTCAGAGTGAATTACTACAAAATTTATAGATCATTGAGGGTTTGAAAAGTTCTAACAATTCTTACTTTTAAAATTTCTTTCATGAAATAGTTTCATTCAGAAAATCTAAAGAAAGAGATCAAATAGTGAGTATCAGCCCTTATGAGTTTCCCTGATGGCTTACCTTCCCTCGCTTCATATATTTCTACTTGGAAATTCCTCTTTGCAAGGAAGCACGCATTCAGTGCTCCAACCTGGGAATGAAAACAAATTTTTCTTATTTGATCAGGACTGTAGGCACATGTGATATTTCTAGTGATGAAATGACACATTGCGTGGGTATACTGCCCTCCTTTCATACATTGATTTACTCAGGCATTGCTGGTGAATACAAATTGTGAAAAGGGTAAGATGAATTCAAGAGTGAGGTAGAGGCATGGCTCAAATGGAAGAACACTAGCTGAGAAAACCAGTAAGCTGAACAAGCTTGAGGTCTTGAGTTCAAATCCAGTTTATGGCAAAAGAAAAAAAGGTTTCAGGAAATGGTGCTGTAGCTCATGTGGTAGAGTGCTCACCTTGAGCTGAAGAGCTGAGGGACAGTGCCCAGGCCCAGAGTTCAGACCCCACGACCAATAACTAGTATATGTCTGAGTCAAGCAGAAAAGGTCAGATAACTTGATGTTAGGGGAATGAACCCCAAGATATTCAAATGTTTTTTTTCTTTCATGCAATTGTTTCTAACATATTTATAAGATGATTTCTATGTTGCTTTGTATGTCCCTCCCCCACGATATAACCCCTGTTTTCACTGTATTTGATGTTGGTATAATTTGTGGAGGGGAAAGGAAAAAAACAAATAATTTAAATAGGGATACAGGTGGACCCATTGCAACAATGATATGTACAAGTCGTTATGTCGAAAAACGAACTTTACAACTTTGGTGGGGGCGGGATCGGGTGGGGGGAGGTGGGGGGAGTATGGGAAGGGATGGGAAGGGGAAACAAAGAGGAGGCAACAATGCTTGATAAAGAAATGTACTCGTTATCTTGCCCATGTAATTTTAACTCCTCTGTATGGTATCCTCACAATAAAAAAATAAATAAAAAATAAAAAAGAGGACCCCCCCAAAAAAGTTTCATACCTGTATGTCTAGCTACTATGGAGGCTGATATCTGAAGGGTCAAAATGCAAAAAAAAAAAAAAAAAACAGGTAGAAAAGTCCACCTTGAGATTCCACCTTTAAAAGAAACAGCAAAAAGCTAGACTGCAGTCATGCCTTGAGTGGCTGAGCATCAGCTGTAAGACAAGCAAAGTGCAAGGCTCTGAGTTCAAATCCAATTTCAGAAAGAAAAAGATTAAGTAGTGTAATTTTGGGGGTAGTTTTTGTTTTACTTTTCTTTTTTGTACTTTTTCATAGTAAGGTGTTGTCTAATTTTTTCATACATACAGAACATAAAACATGTATGCTATCTGTGGAAGAATTACACATTAAAAGCAAATGATGATAAAGAATATTCAGGGTAATGCTTCTAATGTACAGGGGAGAGGCACAAAGATCTGGGCTGTTTTAATTCTTATGTTGTTACTACTACTACTACTACTAAACAGACAAAGCAGCAGTGGTGCTGGTGTCAGTTCCTTATTGACTCTTTCCTTCTTCTCAGCCAGGTGTGGTGGTTTATGCCTCTAATCTCACTATTTGGGTGGCTGAGGCAGAAGGGTTGAAGGATTGAGGCCAGGCTGGTCTACACAACAAGCTCCAGGCTAGCTTGGGCTACAAAATTAGACCTTTCTCTTAATTAAATGTCTCCTCCAAGAAAATAACACCGTAACAAAGATTATAATCATTCCTATCCTGCTGTAATGGAGATTCAAATGAAGCTTAAAGCAAAAACTATTGATGTGTTGTTTATATAAGGTGAGCTGGAAGCATTCCTAAAATGACCAGTAATGTAGACTCTAACTTCATTTCTCTTTCACACTTTGTACGAAATAGGTGCTTAACTGGGAAAAAGTGTCAGTGCAATCTTTAGTTGTTAGGTTTCCAAAACAACCAAGAAAGACAACAGACACAAATGGAAATGAAGTTGGTGCATAAACCATTTGAAATCTACCACAAACTTTTGGTTAAGGCACAGCTGGGTTCCTGCCCATAAACAAAGAAGGAAGTTGGTGAGGGGCCGAGAAACTGGGAGGGCTAGAACATGGGGAGAATAAAACATATTTTATGATGCCAGGTACAGTTACGAAAGGTTTATTTAGTTGTTTTAAAGTTCCAACAATCCACAACAGTAAACATATTGATTGAAAAAATCTGTATTTATATGACAAAGCCATGTTTACTGCAGCACTATTTATAATAGCTAAGTTACAGAAATAGCCCAGATGCCCTACAACAGCTGAATCAATTTTCAAAAATGTGATATGTACATAATATGTCTAATATATACATATATGATCATTGTACATAGATTTAGGTCCATATATGTATTATGTATGAATCACATCATATCATATTATATATAATAGATATGTTATAAACAAGGGTATATAATATGAAGTCACAAACACAGTAGGATTTTATTTCATCTCTGGAAGCATGAAATTATTCCATTTGCAGCAAAATGAATGAATCCGAGAAAAAAAAACCACATGGACTGAAGTAAGCTCTTATTGTTCCTTCAGAATAATTTTTCCCTTAAGATCCAACCTGCTTAGGTCAATCTGGTTCCAAGATCTGCTCATATCTTTTCCTCAGGAAAGCTATCCTTGACAACACTCTGGTCAGGAACCGCCAAGACACACTACAGCCTCCTCCAGTTGCATTTCTCTGGTAGGGCTTACCTGTTACTGAAGCAACTCTGTTTCTTTCTACATTGCCTTTCTTCTCTTTGCAATGCTTTACCTGTTATCTCTACTACCTGCATCAATGTTGGCATGAAGTTCAATAAGATGAATGAATTCTCATTCTGTGTGACATTTTGATAAAAAAGAGCATTAGACCTGCCCCATATGAAGCAATGACAATCCATGTCATATTCACTGACAAACATGGACAGGGACAGTATTCCTCAGTATTTTGAATGCAAAAGGCAATAGCAGACAATAACAATAACAAAGGCAGAACAAAAAGATAATATAAGCATATATTATGTAAACACATATGTGGCATAAAGTGTACTAATCTCTATGTCGCCTAGTATGGTGTTAGACCATGAATGAATTTTGTTGAGTAAATCAGTGAGTGAAGACATGCTCATGAATTAAAAGCATGAAAATAATGTGAATAAAGATGAAAATAAAATGTTTAAATCTGAACTAATTGGGAAGTTTTTATTCTGAAAGTAATGTTGTACTGAATGAGAAAATAGGGCTCATGGGGGGCAGGCCAGGTTGGAGAGAACAAGTCTGGCACCATGGTGCAGAAATGAAGCCATACCCACTTCCACCTTCCTAGGTGTGTGGGAAGGTCCCAGACATTTGACTTCATCTGCTCAGGCAAGAAGTGAGTGTGGTGGGTGCGAATGAAAAACTGGGAGAGAGCAAGGGAAGAGGCGACATTGTCCAAAAAGAAATGTGTTCTTTACCTCTCTTACATAACTGCAACCCCTCTGTATATCACCTTCATAATAACAATTTACAAAAGAAAGAAAAGTGAATGCTTTACTCCACCATCCTAGACCTGGCATTGGAACACTCAAATAAGTCAGTTGGCCAAACAGGCATTATGCCCAATTAATCAAATAATAGAAAACATCCAATATGATTTGTTTTACATTGGCTTCTCATTTCTTGGCTTTCTCATTCTCAATAGAAAGCATTAACCAAAGTGGGGCAAAATGTGTTGTTTGTTTTTAAATTAAAATGACTATCAAGGCAAATGTTTATAAAATATAGCCCATTTGGAGACAAAATATTTAGTCAATTTGCTTTATTTTTTTTAAGAAATAGTAAGCCAGACCCAAAGAAATATAGGTTCCATGTTTTCCCTTATTTGTAATAATTAGTATACATCTAGGATAATCTTATCAGATGAGCAGAGAAGCTCAAAAGCTATGCATATCTGACCATATAAGATGATGCTAAGCAAGATGAAACCCAATATATGAACGCATATCTTTTGTTGTTGTTGTTGTTGTTTTAAATGTACTATGTGATTTTCTTTTGTTTGTTTGTTTCTTTCTTTTTTTTGTTGGCCATGGGGCTTGAACTCTGGGCCTGGGTGCTGTCCCTGCGCTCTTCAGCTCAAGGCTAGTGCTCTGCCACTTTAACCACAGCGCCACTTCTGGTTTTCTAGTGGTTTATTGGAGATAAGAGTCTCACAGACTTTCCTTCCCAGACTGGCTTTGAACCTCAACCCTCAGATCTCAGCCTCCTGACTAGCTAGGATTATAGGCGTGAGCCACTGGCTCTGGATCTTTTGTTTCTTTGTATGTTCTTCCCCCTATAGTATATCCCCATTGTTACTGTATTTGATTTTGGTACCCTGAATCTTGTATATACATGTATCTAATTTGAGGAGGGGAAGGGGAATACTAAATGCTGAACTAAGGACACAAGATGACCCAATGCAACAATGAGAGTCACAAGACATTATGTTGGAAATGAATTTTACAACTTCTTGGTGGGGGATTGAAAATGGGGGAGGAGGGGGAGAGAAGGGACAGTAGGAGAAAAACAATGTTCAACAGGAAATGTACTCATTACCTTACTCATGTAACTGTAACTAATAAAACTAATAAAATAAATAATAAAGCAAAATGATGAGAGAAATACAAACACTTTTGCATTTTAAAATTAATATTCTAAAGGTGATGTACAGAGGTGTTACAGTTACATAAGTAAGTTAATGACTACATTTCTTTTTGAAAAGTGTTAACCCCTCCTTCATTTTCTCCTGCTACCCTCCTTAATCTCCCTCTCTTTCCCCCAAATTGAAAAGTTCATTTCCAGCATACTGTCTTGTGAATATCAGTGTTGCATTGATTCAACCTTCATCCCACCTTTCTGTGATTCCCCTTCCCTTCCCAAATCAGATAAACTTATAGATAACCCAAAGGGTACAGAATTTTTTTTAAGTGATAAAAGGGCATAAACGAAAGCAAAAGAATGAAAAAGTAATAACTGCAAACAGTACATTCTAAAAACTTCCTGTTTTCATTTCTTGGAGTTCATTTTGATAAGCTTCATTTTATATGGTCATATGCACCTAGCTATTGAGCTATTGTGATCCTCTGCTAAGAGACATAGTCTAGTATTACAACTGAAGGAAACCATGTAGCCTGTGTTTCTTCCGGTCTGGCTTACTTTGCTTGACATAATTTTTACAAGTCTTTAATTTCCTTACAAATGGGGCAATGTCATTCCTTCTGATGGAAGCATAGAATTCCATTGTGTATATTTATACCACATTTCCTTGATCTGTTCATCTACTGAGGAGCATCTCAATTGATTCCATATCGTGTCTATGGTAAACAATTCTGCAATGAACATGGTTGTGCTGGTCCCTTAAGTATGGCCTACTTTGTCATCATTTGGATAAATACCCTTGAGGAGGATTGTTGGGTCATAGGGGAGTGTTATGTTTAATCTTTTGAGAAACCTCCATACTGCTTTCCAGAGTGGCTGAGCAAGATTTTATGGTGTAACTGGCCATACTTCCTTTTTAAAATAGCATTGGTAGGTAAAACATTTAAAATCTCACCCATGATTTGCCAATAG